CCTTCAATCCCATCCCTAATTCCCTTCCCAGCTCCCCCATTCCTCCAATCCCATCCCCAATTCCCATTCAGCCCCATTTGCCCATTCCAATCCCCACCTCCCTTGTTCCCATTCCCTGCTTGCCCATTCCCATCCCAAATTCCCACTCTGCCCCCATTTGCTCATTCCTGTCCCCAGTTCCCCCACTCCTCCAATCCCCTTCCCAGTTCCCATTCAGCCCCATTTGCCCATTCCCATCCCCAAGTCCCCAGTTCCCCCAGCCCCAATTCCCTCATTCCCAGCCCCAATTCCCCCATCCTTCCATTTCCATTCAGCCCATTTGCCCGCTCCCATCCCCGATTTCCCCGTTCCCAGCCCCTGCTCCTCCATCCCATCCCAAATCCCCGCCAGGGGTGGTCCCAGCCCTTCCCGTTCCCATTCCCGTTCCCGCAGTGACGTGTACCGGACCAAGGGGCAGTTGGCCAACTTCCAGGAGATGCTGGAGAACATCTTCCTGCCCCTCTACGAGGCCACGCTGCACCCGGCCCAGCACCCGGAGCTGCACCTCTTCCTGGAGCACGTGAGTCCTGCCCGGGGGGCCAGGGACCCCCAGCCCTGGGGAGGGTCACCCCCAGCCCCAGGGGAGGGTGTCACCTCAGCCCCAGGGGAGGGAGGGTCACTCCCAGCTTAGGGGAGGATGTCACCCCCAGCCCCAGGGGGAGGGTGTCACTCCCACCCCGGAGGGAGGGTCACCCCCAGCCTGGGGGGAGGGTGTCACCCCCAGCCCCAGGGGAGGGTCACTCCCAGCTTAGGGGAGGATGTCACCCCCAACCCCAGGAGAGGGTCCCCCCAACCTGGGGGAAGGGTGTCACCCCCAGCCTGGGGGGGAGAGAGGGTCCCCCAGCCCAGAGGGAGGGTCCCCCCAGCCCAGGGGAGGGTCACCCCCAGCCCCAGGGGAGGGAGGTTCCCCCCAGCCCCAGGGGAGGGAGGTTCCCCCCAGCCCCAGGGGAGGGAGGTTCCCCCAACCCAGGGGAGGTTCTCCCAGCCCAGGGGAGGGAGGTTCCCCCCAACCCAGGGGAGGTTCTCCCAGCCCAGGGGAGGGAGGTTCCCCCCAACCCAGGGGAGGTTCCCCCAGCCCAGGGGAGGTTCCCCCCATCCCGGGTGCTCGGTGCCCGCAGGTGGACGGGTTCGACAGCGTGGACGACGAGTCGAAGCCGGAGCATCACATCTTCAACCTGGACAGCCCCCTGCCCGGGCAGTGGGTGGAGGAGGACAACCCACCCTACTCCTACTACCTGTACTACATGTACGCCAACATGACCGTGCTCAACCACCTGCGCAGGTGAGGCACCCCTGGGGGCACCCACTGACACCCACTGACACCCTGGGGGCACCCACTGACACCCACTGACATCCACTGACACCCACTGACACCCACTGACACCCACCCACTGACACCCACTGACACCCACTGACACCCCTTGGGCAACCCCGGCACCCACAGACATCCCACAGACATCCTGGGGTCACCCACAGACACCCCTCATGTCCCACAAAAACCCCTCACATCCCACAGAAACCCCTCATAACCCAGAGACACCCCTCAGCACCCACACAGACCCCTCATACCCCACAGACACCCCTCACACCCCACAGACACCCCTCATACCCCACAGACACCCCTCATACCCCACAGACACCCCTCACACCCCACAGACACCCCTCATACCCCACAGACACCCCATTGTGGCTGGGGGTCCCTTCATTACCCCCCCCATCCCCTCCTGTTTTGGGGTCCCTTCATTCCTCCCCACTGTTTTGGGGTCCCTTCATTCCCCCACCCCACTGTTTTGGGGTCCCTTCATTGCCCCCCCCGCTGTTTTGGGGTCCCTTCATTGCCCCCCCCCACTGTTTTGGGGTGCCTCTGACGCTCCCCGTGTCTCAGGAAGAGGGGCTTCCACACGTTTGTGCTGCGGCCGCACTGCGGCGAGGCCGGGCCCGTCCATCACCTGGTGTCGGGGTTCATGGTGTCCGAGAACATCTCCCACGGGCTCCTGCTGCGCAAGGTGAGCGGGGAGGGGGCACGGGGGGCACCTGGGGGGCACAGGGGGGCACGAGGACTTGGAGCTCTGGGTGGGGTTTAATGGAGCTGCGTCATCCCAGAGAGTGGTGGGGATGGAGCTGCATCCCTGGGGATCCCATCACCAGTGGTGTCCCCAGGGATCAGTGTTGGGCCCAGTCCTGTTTAATGTCCTAATTGATGATCTGGATGAGGGGATCGAGTGAACCATCAGCAAATGTGCAGCTGACCCCAAGCTGGGGGGGTGTTGCTGTGCTGGAAGGCAGGAGGGCTCTGCAGAGGGACCTGGACAGGCTGGATCCATGGGCTGATTCCAAGGGGATGAGGTTCAACCAGGCCAAGTGCCGGGTCCTGACCTTTGGCCACAACAACCCCCTGCAGCCCCCTGGGCTGGGCCAGAGTGGCTGGAGAGCAGCCAGGCAGGAAGGGAGCTGGGATTTGGGATGGACAGGAAGCTGAACAGGAGGCAGAGTGTGCCCAGGTGGCCAAGAAGGCCAATGGATCCTGGCCTGGCTGAGGAAGAGTGTGGCAGCAGGAGCAGGGAAGTGATTCCTGCCCTGGATTCAGCACTGGTGAGGCCACCCCTGGAGTGCTGTGTCCAGCTCTGGGCCCTCAGCTCAGGAAGGACATGGAGGGGCTGGAGCAGGTCCAGGGAAGGGCAACGAGGCTGGGGAAGGGACTGGAGCACAAGTGCTGTGAGGAG